CCCACCCCCCCGGCCTTTACACTTCGGTTTTTCTTACAGCCCAGGGATGAAAATAAGACACAGACACCTAAAAGTAAGGCAGTGTATCAGCACAGCGGACCCGATACAAAAGAGTTCCGAAAATCCGGTGATGTTTTGGTCCCCTAGAGCGCAGCGAGCAAGGCGAGAAGAGTTGGGGTATCAAAAATTTCCCGCTAAGCAAAGAAATAAATAGCGGGGCAGATTTCGTTTTGTAAATTTGATTTCTCTGTTCCTAACTTAGAACCCGTAGAGTTCCTTAAGAAAGAAAGGAAAGAAAGGCACAAGAAACGAAAGAAACTTCATTGGCTTCCCGTTTTCAGACCAAGAGCTTGCCAGCATGTGAATTAGAATCAAGTCCTTGCTATGGTACAGTGATTAAAATAGCACCGAGTATGACAGAAACGTAAACACAAAGCGTTCATTGCTGGGAGATAAATAAAGAGCTAATTATCTCATTCTGTCAACTCTCAATGAGAACGGGATCTCGCGCTCAGTATGGGACGCACACTCATCTCCTCAGTCCTCAGCAACATCCCAGCGTTCAAACCATTCTGCAAAAGACAAGTTTGTGTGTGTGTGTGTGGAAACTCAGCAGTTCTATTTTTCCCTTCATATTTCCATCACAACAATGAGATTGAAAGCAGACTAGAGGATGCCTGGATGTCTATTAATAAACACATCACTTTCTTGTGCGAGATTGCGTTTGGGATCAGGGAAAAAGAAAAAAAAAAAATCATCCTTCCTACCTGTAGGATCGGGTGGAGGGAACACCGTGAAACACGATGCATCGATATTTGTGCGTGTTTTCATAGTCGGGGGGTGGGGTGGGGGTGCATCCTGGCGTCCAGCACTGGGCTTTGAGAAAATGTGTGATTGGTAGAGCAAACTAATTTTGTCAGGCTGGATGTGCCGATGTCCCAGGGCTAAGGCGCCTTGCTCCCTTGATGCGGGTTAACGTCCTCAATAGTCCCCCTCCAGCCGAAGCCTTTGATCAGACCGCTGCTGGCGCCTAAAAACAACATCACTTGTCTGCCTATTAGAAGCACTGACTAATCGTGACAGATTGTTTATTCTCGCAATTAGCAATGCAGCCGCTTCTCTGAGCACCCCCTGCACACCCCTGCCCTGCTCGGCCAGGCCCGGCCCCCCGGCCCGATGGGGCGCGGGGCAGGATGCGGGCAGTGCGGGGCAGCGGCCAGAGGGTCCGGGCCGGGCTGGGCGGTGGCACCACTGCTCTCCGTCTGACAAGAGCGCTCATCGGGGCGGCACGATTCGGGACGGGAATTTAATGTATCCATGTGAGCTATACGTGGGTGAACAGGTCTGTGCCATGTGCGTTCACGCCAATCTATAGGAACGCACGGGGTAGCCCACGAGTGTCCTATAAATCGGCTTCACCTAGAGGGATCGTGTACGAGCACAGCACATGTGCGATGTAGGTGTGCATACGTACGTGCAGGACACTCCCTACAGTAAGCACCGGGCCAGGGTGTGTACTCACGCGTGTGTAAGACTCGTATGCGTGCAAGACAATCCATTTCAATCAGGTCGTGTTGCTTATCAGTTAATAAAATGTCTCTTTTATCAATTCGTTTCATAATCTATATGGTCCTAATCTGCCATCTTTATTGGGTCCAGTTAAAAGGAAAGGGAATTCTCTGTCCCTCTCCGTTTAGATAATTACCCTTAAATGACTGCAAGAGCCTCTTGTGTTTCGAGGAGATTAGAGCCCTGCAGCTATCAATAAACTTTTCTCAGCGAGCGGCCAATCACGTTATTAGAGAGCGGCTCCGTTTTACTGCACATCCGTCCTGGGCGCTGGGATAAGGGATCATAAAACGAATTTACAAAACAAAATAGCCGGGGTTTTAATGGGTCTGGGGCTTAGATGTTCCTTTTTACGTGAATGAACATTTGATTATCGGGAGACTCGGAGGCACGCAGACATCTATGCCATGAAACGCAGCACAACTGGTATGTGTGTGTATGTTGTGTATATACACGCAGACCTCCGCAGACACGTCAAACACATCGCAGGGCCGGCGTTCATTAAAACGAACAAACAAAAAATGATAATTAAAAAGAAACAAACGCCCCTCCCCCCCCCCGAAACCAAAAAACAAACCAAAACAACAAAGAATAATCCCCCAAAATACCGGACGCACCTTCCCCCCCCAAACAATGCACCTTTTCAAGGCGCAGACAGACTGTGGGAAGGGCAGTGGCCCCTCTGAGAGGTCACACACAGGACATCCCGATATTTCTTGGTTTTCCAGAAGAACACGGCTCGGGCCCGCTTCCTCGAGCTTCACAAACAGAAAGGCCGGCTTTTTCCTGACGCTAAGACACATTTTCCCCCGATTTTTACTCCTCCTCCTCCTCTCCCCAAATCCCCTTCCAGCGGCGCAGCGCTGCTCGGGCAGCCCCGGCCTCTCTAACTCGCTCCGGAGATGCGCGCTCCGGCGCG